GGGATAGTAATGGCAATGGGGATACAAGAATGCTGGTAAGAAATAATCTTGGTAGAAGTAGTTTGAGTGTCACCCATGCTGAAGGGCTGAGAGTGGGGCAGGTTCAGAGCAGAGGTTGAGAGGACAGTGATGTAGGTGGGCTAGGATGAGGGTGACTCCAGCTAGGATAGTGGTGGCAACTCTAGCATTGATGAGGTTTGTGAGCTGGGGTTGGTCGGACTCCCAGGTACGGTGTGGCCACAGCCCTTCCTGTGTGCTTGCTTCCTTCCCAGGCCTCCCTCAGAGCTTATGGGTGGTGCACTGAAGGCAGCCTCACTTCCTTCCCCAGGGCAGCCATTTGCCCAGGGTCACACTCACTGCCAGTCCAAACCCCAAGCAGCTCCTGGCATGAGATGGGGTTCCCTACAGACATTCTTTCCTGCTGCCTCCACCCCAAACCTGAGAAATTTGCACCAAGCAGAATCTGGGCGTTCCCATTCCCTAGCTCAGGTCAAGGGTCTTGCCTCTTCTGGAAGCACCAGCAGGAAAGTGTGTGGATTTTTGAGGACGAGGACAACCGGTGCTGTGGCAGGATCACTGCACTCAGAGTCTGCAGAGCTGGGTTTGTACCCTCTGTCAGATCAGGGAAACCTCTGGGGCCTGTGAGCCGTGTCCTGATCTGCTAGAGGGTTGGGGATTCAAGGACATCAGATGTGGAGGGTAGCGTTCTTGCTGCCATCTTATTGGCTCCTACAGTAATGGTGCCTGGTGGATTAGCAAATGCACATGTGCATGGATTGCATTCCAGCGACCAGACTCCAGCCACCCCCCTGGGTTTCCAAGACTGTAATCTTTACAGAAGCAAATTGCTTCTTCAGGAGCTCTGGTGGCTTAGTGGTGAGGAGCTATGCTGCCAACGCAGACACCAGGGGTTTGAATCCACCCTGGAAGAAAGATGAGCACTCCTGTGATTTACTGCTTCTGAAAACCTGCAGGAGAGTCAGCTATGGGTTGGTTCTGACTCAGCAGTGTATAACAGTAATTGCTTCTTGGAGCAGCGGAAAAGTTTGAACTGCCGCACTTTAAAGGGCAGCTAAGCACTTAACCAGGACTCCTTCATTACACCAAACCAAAGCTGCCGTCACAAGAGTGTAAATTTTGACAGGAGGAGACCCCCTCATCTTTTTTCAGTCTGAGTAGCTAGTGACTGAAATGCCCATGTTTTAGCCCCCACAGAGCACCTTAATCCTTAGTATGTTGTTGAATGCTGTCAAGCGTAACTCATAGGCCTCCGTGAACAACACAGCTGAACCCTGGTTCTATCCTGTGCCATTCTCACACTTCCTGACACACTAGAGTCCATTGTAGCACTCATCGTGTCAATCCACACGGTTGAGGGTCTTCTTTCACTGACTCTCCACCTTTCCAAGCATCATGTCCCTTTCAAAAGAGTAGCCTCTCCTAGCAACATGCCCAAAGCATGTGAGATAAAGCTTTATCATCATTGCCTCCAAGGAGCACTGCAGCTGCACCCTCTCCAAGACATTGATTTGGGTTTTTTTTGGCAGTTCAAAAGAGTTCAGTGCTCTTCTCCAACACCATAGCTCAAAGATATAAAATCCTTATTCATTGTCCAGCCCTCAGATGCATAACAAATGATTGGAAAGACCATGGCCTGAGTCAGATACACCTTAGTCATCAAACTGACATCATTGCTCCTCAATAATTTGGAGAGGTCCCTAAATTCAGACTTTCCCAATGCAATACATCTCCTGATTTCCTGACTGCTGGTACCGAGAGTGTTTATTATGGATCCAAGAAAGATGAAGTTGTTGGCAGCTTCAAGCTTTTCTGCATCTATCAGTCTAATGGTAAGAATTTTTGTTTCTTGATGTTGAGATCTAATCCTTATCGAAGGCTATATTCTTTGATCTTCTGCACCAAGGGCTTCAAGTCCTCCTCACTTTTGGCAACGAAGGTTGTGCCAGGGGCATAACACAGGTTGTTGATGAGTCTTCCTCTGATCCTGATGCTACATTCTGCTTTATAGAGTCCAGCTTCTTGAATAATTTGCTCATCATGCATATTGAATAGGTATGTAGAGAGACTACAACCCTGATGCACACCTTTCCTAATTTTAAACCATGCAGTGTTCCCTTGCTCTCTTCTTGATCCAGGCATAGGTTTTACATGAGCACAATTAAGTGTTCTGAGTTCTCATTCTTCCCAATGTTAGCTATAACGTATTATGATCCATACAGTCAAATGCCTTTGTGTAGTCAACAAAGTATAGACACTTATGCTTTAATCCTTATATAGAGTCCATATTGTATTGTAGGGTGCTCTGATGGTCAAGTCTGTAGGGAGTTGTGCAGCTAACTCAAAGCATAACCCAAAACACAACCTTTCTGGCAGTTCGAATCCATTAGTGGCTCTTACGGAGACAGATGGGTAATAATCATCTCCTATGAGATTTACAGCCTCCGAAACTCCCTGGAAGTTCAGCTAGGAGTTGGTTCTGATGTGACAGCAGTGAGGGAGGGATTATTATGTTTCTAGATGAAGATATGGTGAATCAGAGAGGTCCCTGGGGGTTAAGTAGTGGAGGTGGGATTTGAACGCAGGCATTTCGAGCTCAGAGACCCCATTTTGAGCTCAGAGTCTGCGCTGTAGGGGGAGGGTAAAGGGAAGGTAAGGAGGCCAGGTAAGACACTGGCTGTCACCTGCCACTTTTGCCAAGTCCCTGAGACTGTCAGTTTCTCTTTAGAACCATCTCCCTGCGATCACACCCT